ATAATATATATCTTTTTGAATGAACGTGCTTGTACATAATAAATGTACACATCCCACAATTGCCTAAATTTACAAAATAGCTTCAAGTAGAAGTATTAGTGAGCTGTTGATGCTAATTTGCTATAAAACTAAAACAATGTGTGGCCAGTACTAAAAGTAATCACCTAGGCACCTGGTTAAGCACCTGCTACCTATAGTACCTCTACCTGCTTGTGGCATTCAGGTACTATGGGCAATTACTTTCACTATTGGTGTTTTAATTTTATAATAAATTAATATCAACAGCTCACTAGTACCACCACTTGTAGGTAATTTGTAATTTTTAATTGCATTGATTTATGTTTATATGCAAGCTACATTTTGAATAATTGACACAGAAAAATAGCTGTGGTTTGACAGCTCAAAGGATAGAACAAAAGGTTATAAAAGTATAGATATTTTTGATTAATGGATATAATGACTTTTGTAGTCTTGATTTCTTTTTACAGTTAATACATTATTTTGCTTTACAATTTATTTTCTTCTGTGAGAGCAGATAGAAACCCTCATATCTACAACAGTACATGTAAGTAACATGGATTGACCTCAAAATGAAGCAATCCATGCCAGCTATTTCTCAAGTTGTGCATGGTAGACCAATTGTCCTTGAAGAAGCTTCTTCTAATTAATTACTATCTTTCTTTGTGTATAGAGGAATCTTATTGGCAGAAATTGATTGGGCATGTCAGACACTTCATTTAGCTGATACAGAAATCCTTTAATTAAAATAATCTTACTGCTGCTAAAATGAACTGCACCCAAGCAAACTCACTGACCAGAATTTAAAATATGAATTCAATTATATATTTTTCTTCATGTTCACACTTTCCTTGCATAAGAATCATTGAGTTTATTCAAAGATTTATCCACAATTTAGCCTTGCTCCTTCTCTGTTTTATTGCAGTCAGATAGGGCTGTTAAATTCCATAGATGTACTGGAAATGAATATAAACAGACTTGGATGAAACTTGCACTATTGGACTATGTAGGTGGTTTGAAATGTTTTACTGTAGAATGAATATTTGATGCCACATTAGCCTAGAGATGAAGATGTGGGATATGAAAGTTCCTCATCCTTCACAATTGAGTTCAGATAATGTCTATACTTGTGAACTAAACAATGGCATGACCCCTTCTGCCTGGTCAAATTGACATAGTTAAATTCTTTTGTTCTCCAGAATAGAGTGGCTTCACCCAAACAAGTCTATTGGGAATAGTCCCTCAGGGTAACTCCCAAATGTTCTTTAAGAGAACACCAAAATGCACCTGGGAGCCTTCTAACAATTTCACAGGCTTTTCCCTGACATATTCCAATTTACTGGTGTAGATGTAGCCTGAGGATCCTCATGACCTGCCTATAGGGACTGCCTTTCTTCAGCACAATGAGTGTTTAATTATTTATACAGAATAGAACTGTTTCAAATCAGAGGCTGAGAATGACTCACCCCAGCATCATCTGACTGTTCCCACAGCCACAACAGGTTTTCAAGGCCAGGATCAATTCCCTGCTCTGAAATAAGAAAGCATTGTGTTTTGCTTTTCCACATGCCAAGTTTCAAAGCTCTTCAAGTAGATAAAAGAGCAGCAGCACAACTACTACAGATCTATTCCTTGTTCTAAAAAATGAACTGGTAAAAGAATATGCATCATGGGAGATTCCTACATGACAGGATTGTCACTGGAGTTATACTGAAGTGTATGCTTTAGCAACAGATGCAGTCTTTCCAAGCTTTGCTCACTGCAATTTATTAGTTATTAGTGTTGTCACCATCAAAGGAGGACTTGCTAGTGCACACAGATTCCAGAGATCAGTGACCATGGAATGAAATAATGGAGTAAAAGAAATCATTTGATAAGTATTAATAGAGAAACTCATTAAGAACACCTGTCTTCAAGTGAGGAAAAGTGAAACAGTTCACTGATTTGCAGAGGATTCAATTTTCTGTTTTGGAAGAATTTTCAGTGAAAATTGCCAGAAAGAAAAAACAAACCACTAAAGTAAGCCAGTCTCTAATATTGTTCACATCTAGCAATGTTTCCTGGTGGTTAAAATGTCTTTCAAAATGGTGTGTTGCTGAATAGCACTAGTTAGGGGAAAAGACAAGCAGTCTTAGCTAGAGTCAAAGTCATTTGCCTAAGTTCATACCAGGCATGAAAGTACAATGGTTACTTCCCCTCTGGAGTCTTCCTCAGAATGTGTTGAGATAAAAGGAAGTAAACACTCCAAAAATGAAAAAAACAGCATATTAAACCATGCTGGCATGGTCCTGAATTTCAAGCACCTAAACTCTAGAACATGAAGAAATGATAGCAAATGTACATGTTGTACCATCCTTGTGCGAAATCCAGGCAGAATTACAGCACATTAAGTCAGTGTTTTTTCTCTGGTCTTTATTTCCGCAAGACAATTAAATCTACTGATTTTTTTATACTGAAAGGACTTTTTCTTTGACAGTCAACAATAACATGAAAAGCCAAAGACTGCAAAAATTTCTATCTGATATTTCAAAATGAAACACGATATCAGTACTTAAGTTCTGGCTGTATTAAAAATGGAGTAGAAAGTATGTGGATTCTTATGTTCATATTTCGTAGTATTTCAGTTTCCTACTTAAGTCAGTGTATGCTGAATATATTTCGCCCTTATGAATAAATTTTGAAAGAACTGTCCTTTGCTAATAGTTATATGTAATAATTATACAGTTAATTTAAAGAAATTGTAGTTTGTTCAAAAGCATCTAAAGTATTGAACTGGCAGTTGATTGAAAAGAATGTCAATTTAAAGAGATACTAAAAAATGTGACCTCAAATTTGACATATAAAATGCTCTATATAATAAGTTGCTTACAACTGCTTGTGAACTCTAACAATTAATTTCACTCACTTCTGTCACTTTTTTTTTTTTTTTTGGCAAGCTGAGTAAAAGACTTTTGACCTTTTGTCTTCTCGGAGTCTCAAGCAAGAGTTCTGGCACTCTGAGTAGACGAAAAGCAGCTAGGTCTCATTGTGCTAGTGGGAACATCTTCTTGCCATGATGTGTATTTGTTTCAAATAGTTGTACATCACCATAAAAATTCTCAAATGCATGTATCCAAAAACAGGAGGGAGATATGCATTTTATGTAAATTCAATAAAAATGTTTTCAGAGAAAATTTTATTGCAGTGGTTTCAAAATCAGTTGCATGTAATGGTCAGAGACATTTTTTTTCTGCTTCTAAGCATAACCAGTGTCAATCAGCAAAAAGCATAACATTTCAGATCTTACCTAGGAACAAAATTGCTGCTTGTGTAATAAAATCACCTGTTGCACTGATGGACTTAAGCCAGGATACCATGCATAGTGTAGATGAAAGCATAGCACGCTGGGATATAGGAAATGCATTAGAGAACTGAACAGTTCTTATACCTTTTATCTAGCCTAGTCCTTTCATCTCCTGAAGTCTTTCTATATAGTGCAAGTATATGGGATAGGGTTGGGTGTTTTTGAAGAATTCATCATGAAAAGCTATATGAAGAAAGTGATTAAGCAGAACAGTTTCTGTTATGCTCAGCTAGTCTACTCTACCACAGTATTCTTACACCAGCCAAAACAGTTCTTTTTCTCTTTTACCATGATTAACCATGATTAACTATGTGTCCCTTAATTTTTCTCAGATGCCATGTACCACAGCATTAGTGGATATGTATTTTCACTGTATCTCCACTGAAGGCCGAATGATAATTATGTAAGAAATAGTTCTTCAAGGCTTTCTCATGTTATTTCTCAAGTTTTCTGTTCAATTGTTGTGTCCTTTAAAAAATCTCAATTGTATTGAAGTATTATATACAGTACTATGACAATGTGACAGGCTGAAGGCATCATTTCATCTGTGTTATTGAAGTTTGCAATTGATGTACATTTTTCCAGTGACATGAGCACTCTTTGTAAGCAGCTGCAAGCCATATCAGCTTTTTGTCTAAATTGCATTACATTGTAAACTTAAATTCAAAAACAACTTCCACACTTTGGCTTGTACTTGAAGCTCTAACAATATTTTTTTCTGGAATTACCTCTTCAAAGAGCTCAGTTTTACCTTTTCTTTTCTTTCTTTTTTTTTCTTGATACTTCCTTTTTTTTTTAATTCCTAAGACAAATCTCTTTTAAAACATTTTACTTTCCTCCAGAATGCCTGGCATATACAGTGAAATCAGTAGCAAATTCTGTCACCATCTACCAGATAGCCTGTGAACTTAAGACACTAGGAAAGAGAAAAAATCAAACTTTTTTTTCCCCGCCAACTAAAAAAAAAGGTCATTAATTTAGGCTTTCTAGGCTTCTTCTGTGGCCAATACAAAGAAAAAGGCTCCCAAACAAAGCACATCTAAAAAAAGCTACCTAAAATTTGCCCTCTGAAAATATTTATCTATTGACTACACATGGAGCCTAGGAGACTTGTTTAGACTGGATGTCTAACTGTTAAGCTTCTAAAATCCACTAAAGTGAATCAGTTAATTCCAGTCAGTCTAACTTGCACAAGCCACTGAGGGCAGATCACTGAGGGCAGGTTAAGGACCTGAAATGGGAGGTAGAATTCAGCTTTCAGACAGAGATGCCTAAAGTTAAATGAACAAATATAGACCAACTCCCTATGCTCCTTTGTTTTCATTGATTAGATGTCTAGGAATAGGGAAGACATCCTGTCACATGTACAATATATACATGTAAACATTTAAATGTAGTGCCATTGGAGCTGAACCTTACTCTAGAACTCTCTTTCTACAGTTTCTTTTCAGTGGAAGCTTCAACACTAATCCGTAACATCACTTTAGATATTGCCAGCATCCGAGCAGAGGATAGAAAATGCAGAGATGTGATTATTTCTATAGTCCAATCCTTATATTCTTTTTAATTCAATATTCCTGTTTTGAAAGTTTAAAAGTCAGTGAAATACAGACCTCTATACATCTTAGATACATCTTACCTGTGAAACCATGAGGACACAAACACCGCAACAAAGGTTGCTCTCTCAGTTGGCTCAAATTGATGCAAGTTGCTCCGTGAGAACATTTATTTGGGTAAATTAAACATGCATTTTCAGCGAATTGGCAAAATTCTCCTGTCCATCCAGGTGCACAGAGACACTAGATATATATAAATATATAAAAACAAAGCACACACACATGCACACAAATACATATCATGAAAATGTAATGTGAAAAGTCTGTAGACATTTCTACAATGTAGAGATGTAGCAAGACACAATACATAAGCATTTTACATTAGCAGGTGAGACATATAGCCACGAAAGGGGCAAACAGAGATGAATGCAGTTGCAGTAGTATGCAGCAAAAAAAGTCGCCAGAAGAGGCAAGAGACTGCAAATAGACAGGATATACTGATGAATACCTAAGAAGGAAAACTGGCAAGACCACCCCGCTGCTTCAGATAAGCAATCCTTGGAGCAAAGGGGACCCTCTTTCTTTGAGAGAGGGACAAAGCAGCCTTAAAATATCAAGCATGAAGGAGAAGGATGGAGACTAAAGGAAATCCCACTGTCTGACTTCTCTTATCAAAGAGATATCAAGACCAATAACCTTGACTCTGATTAATAAGAATCACCGCAGACCACAGCCACCTGCACTAAGGGTACAACGCCAGCTCCAAGGTCCAAAGACCTAGCCTTTAGCATGACATGAATTATATGAATTAATTCAGTAATTTTGTTTTAAAGTTAAAACTACCCTGATTTGCCAGGCTTCTAAACATTTTCACTATACTGATCTCTGGTTCCCTGACTGATGCCCCAAACTGCACACATTAGGATTGTCCCATGCAGCTACACACAGATCTCTGAGTCTTCTTGTATATTCCCTGAGCTGCATGCAATGGTGTATATGCATTTCAGGGAGGTAATTCAACCATTTGGGAGAGGGCCAGTAACACCCTCCATAGTCCTGCCCTGTGTGTACTTCCCTGGCTGCATGGAGGCATCCTGACCTGAGCTGCATTTTTCTGACTGCCCTGTCTCTGTAATTCCTCCTTCTCCCCATCTTTCCTAGTTTAAAACCTTCTGCACCAGGTTGGCCAACCTGGCAAAGACACCCATATCCCTCTTGGTGAGGTAGATCCCATCTCTCCCATCAGTTGTCTGTCTTAAAAGAAAACCAAATACAACCTAAAATTTAGAGAGCAAACTCAGTAAGAATAGAATGCTTCGATTGTTTTTGTTTCATCCTAGATTTTACGCTGCATTTCCTCCGCGCTGTTTCTTTGTTTTGTTTTGTTTTATGACACTGATGGCACAAACACAGTAAGAAATGATATGCTAATAGCTTTCCATATGTTACAAGGAATATAAGGAAAATTAATTAATAACCATGTTGCTAGTTGGTGAAATGGACTGCCTGACTTATTCAAGCAAATCTTTTTAATCACTAAATTCAAGTCTGAATCTTTTTATGAAAGAGGGTTACAGTCTTTTTCCTTCGAAGTGTATACAAAAATTAAAATGAGGATAATTCTACAGCTGTCAATAAATTCTGTCATGTGCAGAACTTAAAACTGTATAAACTGATTCATCAGTTTAGAATAAACCAGGACATGTGAATGACTTTTAACTCAAAATGAGAAAATTGTTCAATTCTAACTTCATTTCATAAGATGAATTTTGTCTTTTTAAATAATTGCATCATTGGGTTGCTAAATATTCTGAAAAAGAAAAGACACAATTATCCCATTTTCATACTACTTAAGTGATGCTGGCATGGGAACATCTGATTTCTTCTCCTAATTCCTAAAAGTAGGGATTCATGATGATGTTCTGGTTAGGCTTCTCCTTTAATAACAGAAGAGTGTACTAGAGCTAGAAGAGTAAATAGGAGAAGTTATACAGTTCCCCACTTCCTCCTTATGGCATATTAATCTTTATAACTGTAGTCAAGTCAGACAGGCAGTCACTGTTGGCCCTGGATGCCTGGTGAAGTGGCTGACCTCTGATAAACACTTGGCCCAAGTTCTGGGTGGCTGCGAAACCCCTGATACCATTTGGTCTACTGCGATCAGCCTAGGTCCTGCTAGGTCCTACGGCTGCTCTAGCAGTTGGTCCAGAATGGGGCTTCTTTTGTGTTCTGGCAGTTCAGTTTATACAGAGGTCAGTTTTTTAATCAGGTTCTGCCTTATGGTAGCCTATCTTTGCAGTTTCCTTTTTTCAAACTTTTTTTAGAAATCCTACAAATCCTTTTAGAAATCCTCAGTGGAATAGTTTAGCAAGAAGAGCCATCTATTTTCCCTTTCCTCTCTCACACTCTCCAGATTTGGACATATCCAGAATTTTCATCATAACAGGGTTTCACTTATGTCTTACAAATACACACAAATAGACATAGAGCAACTGTAAGAAGTCAGTCAAGGCTACTAGTCCATTAGACTTTAATCTCTGACACCAACAGAGGGTCATTAGAGAGGCCAATTCTCCCTGAACTTGGCCCATGTTGACTGCACCTGATTTATCATCATCCAAGAGATATTAGGAGATGAGCTACATCATCTCTAATATGCTATGCTCATTCACATGCACCTCAGATATCAGGTAAAATTATCAGGCAGCTGGACAGAAAGAAGGCTTTGCTTCAACTATTACTAGATATTAACAGAGATGATTTTTTTTTTTTTTCAGAAGGCCATATGCAGGATGGGGGAGAAAAGAAACTACTTTTTTATTATGACAAATATTCCCAACTTCTGTTGCAACTAGACTTCTGTCCATGCATATCTGATCTGTGGAGGGGGAAATTAACTTAGCTTTTGCATGACTCAAGCAGGTACCAACTCTCTTTCCATCAGACCTCAGAAAAGAATGAAATTTTGTTAATATTTATTACAGTCTGGAAAGGGAAATTAATAATGTTTGTTTTCTGAGCAGCTGGTGGCATAGAAGGAAAGGGGAGCTACTGAGGGATAAAAAATAATCAGCAAGAAGCTGTAGTGTATACTAAAAACTCATGGTGCAGTTTTGGAGGCAGATGCTGCTCATGGTGCAGTTTTGGAGGCAGATGCTGTGGGCACCACAAAAATTTATATAGCACATGGAGAATGTGCATCTGATCCTACTGGCATTAATAAACAGGTTAAAAATATATATTATAAAAGTTATGTGCTTCAGAAATACACAGTGCTGAGCTGGCTGGCTGTACTTTTATGGAATCTTTCTACAACCTCCTCCTTATCTCAAGGGGCCAGCTTCTTGTTAGACAGGGAAGTCACAAAAAGAGAGGTTTGGGGTTTTCTGGCTTCTTGAAAAGCAGTTCAGACCTGATCACTAGGTTGCTTTTAACTGATTTTTTGTTGTTGTTGTTAAAAATAATTCAAACTCAGCTAGTTTTTTCATGAGACTTGGAAAAAAAAAGAACTTAGTTTCTATTTTAATTCAAATTTGTCTGTGCCATATTATTAAGTGATAAAACTAGTATGCCTGGGCAGAGGAAATGCATGAAGAAAAACAGGGGAAAACTTGCTATGTCTGGGCCATCATTCAGAGGGTAGGTTTCTACTTCAGCATTTAATATTTGAAATAGTAACATGAAAAAAAAAAAAGCTTAAAATGTCTGAATGCTTTCTTTTTACTCTTGCTAGTTCTCATTCTTTCTGAGTTGGAATATCTCGATGGCTCTGCTGAACTGCATTCACATACACAGTGCAAATGTGTAAAAGTGCAATGATCTTATAGATCAGTGTTTTGTTACAAAATTATAAACTGGTGTGGAAGTGTTTACCTTTTTTGCCGTTAATCATAAAAATTCAGCTGAAATGAAAGGTACTTGTCGGATTACCTAAAGTGAAAATTTAACCTATTTTCTTAGAAACAGTAAAAAGTTTTCTTAGAAACTGAGAAACATTTTCTTAGAAACAGTAAAGATCAACTTTTACATGGGGCTTGAATTTATTATGATGTAAATACAGTAGTAAAGTTTAGTCTCAATTTCTTTCTTAGGGCATTACTTACTCTTAGGACTCATAAGTCCAAGGACATAACTTCTTTTACCCCAAAGCAACAGAACATTTTAGAGCAGTTGAATCACAAAAGTGTAAAAGTACAGATCATGACAGACTTACTTACTTTTCTTTCATATTGCTCGTGAACTCATGTCATATATATATATACACATATTTATTTGCTGCTAAGTGTGAACAATAAAAGACGCAACTCTGTCTTCTAGTTTTTAGTCAGCATGAGTATTATGATAATCTTTTGCTCTTATGTGATATAATTCTTGTTGATTGGAGGTCACTGAATCATCAGGGCATCGTGTTTGGAAATTCAGTGCTATTATTTTTCACGCTATTCAAATTAAAATATAAAAAATATTCAAACTGCTGTTTTGTTTCTTTTATGCAACCCACTTGAAAGAAATATTTGTGCTGCTTTCACGCTAGCCGTGATTTCTGCTTTGGGGATAGTTACTGTCATGTGATTCATTGTTTCATTAAAAATTACTGCTTTCTAGAAAGGTTTTGTGCAGGCTTTTTGTGATTCTGTTAAGAATATTAAAAGTGTTTGGGGAATTTGAGTCAGCAGTTTCTGCACTGGAATAGGAAATTCATTAATCAGTAATTCTCAGATAAAAACTTTACTTTTTGCACAGCTGTGTAATGAGTTTAGTTAGCCTTGCTCAAGCATCTAGCTGAACTTGGGAATTCTGATTAAAACATGTGATTGTCATAAGTGGCTTAATATTTTGAATATATACTTTTGCATCTGGATGAGTCTAAAGTGCACTAACATGTGGTAATGTAGTATAGCTCTGCACACATCACAGACACCGCAAGGTATCATGTGTGTTTATGATTGTCTAGCAGCAATGAATGTAGTGTAGCTATAGAAGAATCCTAAAATGTTAAGAGGCTGAAATAGAGAGCTTAAATCACATGCTATACATTTTCAATGTTCACTGAAATACATTGTCATGTATTACTTTAAATATGCAACTGCAGGGAACAGTTGACTAATCATTTTTCTGTATTCTCTTCAGTTCCAGTCCTAGAATAGCTTTTACTTAAATGCCAGTGAACTCCTCTGTTGCCTAACGAGCCTTTAAGAGTGAAAAGTTTGGTGAGGTTTTTGACTCAAGCATGAAGGATGTAA